AAGAGCCTTCCACATTAGAGGGCACGACCCCTAAGTTCGAGCACGCCCGCGCTCGACGATTTTAACGCCAAGCCGCGCGAGATGCATGGTGCGAGCGCGCGTGAGACAATGTTGCGTTGTCGCTGGCCCTGCTGCTGGAACTGCGCGAGCTTGATCTTGTCGCGGTGGCAAGGCCCTCGCTGGCACTGTGAGCACCTGGGGAGATCGCAACCTAGATCCCTGAATGACTCGGACAGCAAGCCGACTAGCAGGGCGCGAGCGCCGGTTGATAATGCCAACTGGTCGAAGGTTCCCTCTCCGGCCTCCGAGTCCACAATATCACTCGGTGGCGCTCGCGGTCTGCGAGCTCTGCCGGAGCATGAGCTTGGGCAGCGTCTAGCTTAACCGCTCGGAACCTGGCGCATGCCACAGCCACAACGATACCACGCTGCCCTGGAGATAGGCGTACTTTCTGGCACGCACCTGCCCCGCCACGATCCTAAATAACAGCTACGCAATGGGCAACTTCTACCGCGTGACCCTCGGCGACAAGCAAGAGTGACCCTGGGTGAGAGTGGCATTTAGCGCGCGGACTGAGGGGGCGCAAGGTGGCCCAATCCGAAGGCGCAAGCAGCCGCTACCACATCGCGCTCGGCGGTCGGGGGGGCCCCAGTGAGCCCTCGCCTAAGGTCATTCCGGCGAAGGGTCACTCTTACGTGTAGTCGAGACCCTTCGTGCCGTCATTTCCTCGATGGCATCTGCTGCGGCAGCCTCCGTCGACGCCGATACCACCTCTTCTGTACCTTCAGCCAACATGGCGACTTTTACCCTCCAGAAAGCTGCCGCCAACATCTGGCCTGCCATCGAACGAGCAGCTCGCAATGCTTGCTTCTCCGCAACGGACGCCGTCGGGTCATGCCTCGACGCGCCCTGCGGTAGCCTTGGCACCCACCTCTTGGATCTTGGGTTTCGGGCTCGGCCGCGGCATGTTCGCTCGCGATTTCCAATTCGGAATCATGTGTCGTCTTCGTGGCTACCGTATCCTCAATGGAATCGCCTTCCGTGGCCTCGGCGCTCATTGCTTGATCCTTGTGACCCTCGCGCTACTGGCGGCGCGCGCCCCTCCTCGGACGAGCCAAACGCCAAGCGCAGAATTCGCCGGCCCAACGGGCCAGAGGCGTGCTGAGATCTCCAGCTATTGGTAAACATTATGTCTAGTTCGCGCGCTCGCGGGGCGGCTTATGGGGCCCCCGGACGAAAAGTACCCCGGGCGGTCCAACCCAGAGATGATTCTTCCTTCTGGGCGCGGCTCTCACGCGCCCCAGAGCGCTCCTACAAGGCTCCAGAGTTCTGCAAAACAGTCCAAGAGGGCCCCGAATCGCCGACCAATCGGTCCAAGACGCCCAGGAAGAAGCCTCCAGACGGTCGCAGCCTCCAAAACGCCCAAAGATGCCTCGAAGAAGCGTCTCAAGAGGGCCCCAGGAGGCAAAAACCATCAATTTCCGTGCAGTGTTTGAAAGATTTGGGCGTGTTCATATGTTCGGCTTCCCGACGCTCACAGACGGGCGGCCCAAGAAACCCTAAATATCGCCCCAACAAGACGGCCCAGGAGGCCTCCAAGAGAACCCCAAGACGGGCCAAGAGGCTTCCAAGACGGCCCAAGATATCCCCAGGACGGCCCCAAGAGGGGGCCAGACGGGGAACCCGAACGGACATTGCGAGCCCTCGGCCCCAAGAGGCGCCCACAGGATGCTCCAAGAAGCCCCCAAGCGCCCCCAAAAGACGCTCCAAGAGGCCACCAAAAACCCCCAAGAGAACCCTACAAGAGGCCCCCAAGAGGCCCCCCGGAGACCCCAACGAGGCTCCCAAACGCAACATGGGCCAGCGGAATGAGCGAAGCGATTCAATCCGCCCGCCCACCGGGCAGAGGGGCGTGTGAGATTTAAGTACGAGGACTCCTTCTAGAGCTTCGCCCCCCCTGTCCCCCCCCGGACGCCTCCGCCATTCCGCCGCCTGGCTGCGCTCCATCCTCTTTTCCGGCCCCAAGACGGCTTCCAAACGGCGTCCAAGACGAGTTCGATTTTCACACCGCTTCCAATGCACTTTTCGGGCGCATTTGGGCTCTATGTTGGCTCCTTCGGGGCCCCTCTTGGGCTCCAAAATCAACTCCTGGGGCCCTCAAGAACGCTTCTTGGGCTCAACCACGCGTACAGACTGGAAACCTCAAAAACATGATCGACCCACGCACTCGGAAAGGAATCTAGAAATGTAAGGCATGGCAGCGTTTCAAAGACACCTGATTGGGCGACGGGCAAATGCAACACTGAATGTATCGATCTTGATGTACTGTGCCGAGGGCTGTGCTGTGCTGGGCCGTGCTGAGCTGCGATGTGCCATGCCGCGATTGTGCTCTATATAGCGTTGTGGATGGAGTCCTCCCTGGCATCCGAGTCCTGACCGAACTGATCTGGATCTTAAGCTCGAGCTGCCTGAGCAGATGTTACCGTTAGCTGCACCAGAACTAATCGACAGGGGGACATGCCAGGAGGACGCGCCGCGGAACGTCCCAAGGGACGCGCCAGGCGACGTGCCAGGGGACGCGCCATGGGGACGCACCGCGGGACGTGCCATGGGGACGCGCTACGGAACGTGCCAATGGACGTGCCGCGGGACGTGCCAGGGGACGCGCCGCGCGACGTGCCAAGTGGACTCGCCACGGAACGCGCCAAGGAACGTGCCAAAATGAAAGGTTGAATGGATCGATCTTGATGTACCGTGCCGACGGCTGTGCTGTGCTGGGCCGTGCTGAACTGCGATGTGCCATGCCGCGATTGTGCTCTATATAGCGTTGTGGATGGAGTCCTCCCTGGCATCCGAGTCCTGACCGAACTGATCTGGATCTAAAGCTCGAGCTGCCTGAGCATATGCTAGCTGCCCCAGAACTAATCGACAGGGGGACATGCCAGGAGGACGCGCCGCGGAACGTCCCAAGGGACGCGCCAGGCGACGTGCCAGGGGACGCGCCATGGGCACGCACCGCGGGACGTGCCAAGGGGACGCGCTACGGAACGTGCTAATGGACGTACACCGCGCGACGTGCCAGGGGGACTCGCCACGGGACGCTCCGCGGAACGTGCCAAGCAACATGCCAGGCTGCAATGCTAAGGGTATCGGGTATCGATATTGTTGTACTGTGCCGAGGGCTGTGCTGTGCCTGGGCGACCTGGACACTTGAAAACACGCGTTTCGCTCAAGGCGTTCTCAGCACATCCTCATGCTAGACATCCGCCTGGGCAACCTGGACACGTGCAAACAAGCGTCTCGATCGAGACTTCCTCGACAGACATCCTCCCGGGCGACCTGGACACGTGAAAACAAGCCTCTGGTTCGAGACATCCTCTACCAATCCTGATGCTAGACATCTGTCTGGGCAACCTGGAGGCGTGAAACCAAGCGTCTCGCTCGAGACATTCTCAAGACCTGGGCACGTGAAAACGAGCATTTCACTTGAGAGATCCTCTGAATTCAGGTCCCCTGGAGAGGACAATCTATAACACAAAACAAGCGTTTCGCTAGAGACATCCTCAACAAGTTATGAATAACAAGCGTTTTGCTCGAAACATCCTCAAATTTAAATTCGCCGGCCCTACGCGACCTCATTATTGATCGCAAAAAAAATTCGCCGGCCCTACAGCCGTCAGATCCAGGGGTAAACAGCTAAAAGAGAACCCTGGGCCTCAGCCCTTTCCGGGAATATAGCCAAACAAACTAGTTCTGGATGATTTTCACCTCGCCGGGGATCGCCCGGACGCCTCTTCTGGCTGACTTCCGGGCTCGCCTGGGGCATCTTTCAGCGCGTACACTTCGACACCGTCTTTGGACACGCTCAGGAGACAATTTTGGACGATCCCGGGCTTAACTTTGGCCCCCAAGCGGGGCCCAAAACGGCCCAGAACCGGTCAGATTTTTACCTGAAGACGGACGGGGCTGCGGTCCCATGCGGAGATGCTCGCGCTTGGGTCGTCCAGAAGCCCGCCTGGGCCGCCTCGGGCTCGTCTTGGGGGCGCCCCTTTTGGGCCCTTCTCTGGGCCCTCTTCGGCCCTCCTTGGCGCCATTGGGGCCGTTTCCGAGGCGTCTTTGGCTGGTCTTCGGCGCCGTTCTGGCTATCTCTGGCCTCCTACAGTGGATTAGGCATCCTGGGGACAACCATCCGGGCCACCCATCGGGAGAACCATAGAAAAACCATCGGGGCTGCCACGACGTCAACCATCCGGCCCAACGACACACATCGGAGCCAAAAGAGGGCCAATCAACCAGGCAGCCATCGGGCAAACCATCGGACCCGCCGTCGCTCCAGCCATCGGGGGCATCATGGGGACTACCAGCCCGGCCACCCATCGGGACACCCAAAGGAAAACCATCGGCACCCCCACGATGTCACCCATCCAGCCAAACGAACGCACACGGGCGACAGAACTGCGGGACATACCTGAGCCCAATAAGCCATGGGATAAAAAAGGAATGACACCCACGAAAAGACAACAAACCGCACCTACGGGGTCTTGTGCTATTTTCGGTCTATGTTTATCCAGTCTTGCAGCTGCCTCGCCTCATCCGGCAAGAGCAAGAATGGGCGGGCGGTGAACGCGAAGCGTCTTGAATAAAAACACGTCAAGTCAAGAACGAATGTCCTACGGTGCCCAGCAGAATGCGCGGCGGCGTGCGGAAACCCTTCGGACTCGGAGTCTCCGCGCGGACGCCGAGAGTGTGCAACGTGGGCAACGCAACGGCATATCGATCGTCGCGCACGCATGAATCCAGGTTGCGCCAGGATGATGATTTGAGCCAAGATGGCTTGAGCCAGGGGCGGGGGAGGATTAGGGGAGGGGGGGCCAGGAACCGGAGGCAGGTGGAGAGGGGAGGAGGGGGGAAGAGGAGGAGGAGGAGAAGGAGGAGGAGGAGGAGGAGAAAAGGGGCGGGATAATGACGAGGACAGGAACGAAGGCGAGGACGAGGAGGACGAGGAGGATCCTGCTCCAGCCGGTGCGCGACGTCCTTGGCGCTGTGAATGGCCACCGCGGCCTGCCCCAGCGCATCGCAAAACAGGGCGCGGGGCGCGAATTCCCGGCAGTGAGGGCGCACGCCATCGAGGCCCTCGCAGGTCGTGTTCACCACCTTCTGGAACGCCGGCTTGCTGATGATGCTGGCCTAGGGGGGCGAACAGAGCAGCAATCGGGCAGCAGCTGATCGGACCGATTTGGGGCCAAGGGGGGGGCAAAGAAGTTTTGGAAGAATCACGCCCGGCCCCAGGAAAGGAAGGGGCTTGGAAGGCTTGCGCGGCACTTCTGTCCTGCTTCTTTCTCACCCTCTCAAGCCTTTACGAGGTTAAACTCGCGCTCGTCCAGGCGGCCCCGGGCGTGCCAGCCTGGGTCCCTCCACTTGGCGATCATGCCGGCGCGGGCCTTCCAGTCAAGACCGTAGTTCAGGGAGGATTGAACGTAGGACATCATCATGGCCTGAACCATCTTCATGTTGCCGAGATTGTTCTGCATGCCTGCAAGTTCGAGACCCTCGCACAGCAGCGCATCGTATTGCCTCCAGGTGCAGTCGAGGTTGTCGTCGCTCTTCGAGCTGCACCTGAAGCTGGCTGTCCTCTGCGTGGATGGCAGCTGCGTGAACTTCTCCTTGCGGGGGCCCCCAAGCAGTGCTTGCACTTGGGGGTTCTGTCTTTCCTTCAAAGGAACTGCCCCAGAATGGCTGTCCGGCGGCTATGTGGCAACCGTCGCCGCCCCGTGGCCGCCCGACGTCAGGGCCTGAATAACGGTCTGGCAGCTATTTGACTGCCGTCGCCGCCCGGTCGCCGCCTCGTCGCCGCCCGACGTCTGTGCCTGAAGAGGTTCTGGCGTCCATGTGGCCGCCGTCGCTGCCACATCGCCGCCTCGTCGCCGCCCGACGTCTGGGCCTGCATGGCGCTCTGGCGGCTATGCGGCCGCCGTCGCCGCCCCGTCGCCGCCTGGCCACCGCCTCGGAAATTTCAAAACATAGCTTACACCACATAAATTGCTCCTCAAAAATTGCATCACGCAAGACAAACCGCAATGTTGCACCCCGAATTTACACAACGTAAGTTGAACCACGTAGATTGCACCATGTATTGCTTCACACAGGTTGCACAACACATGTTGCACAACACCACGTCTATTCTTCTTTATTCCCTTTTCAAAGAACAAAATAAACTCTCCCCCCCCCGAGTTATCACTCCCCTTTTCGGGTATGTAAATCACATATGATTATGACCACATGTCCACCCTGAATATGAAATCGCAATGTCCCAGGCCATCCGGTATCCCCCCCTGAGGTTCCCTTGTGCAAACACTATGCGGTGACATGTTTTGTTCTAACATAACACTTTTCCACGAATCCCTTGCAACAGCGGGACGAAGTGCACACGCGCGCGTCGTCGCGCGCGCAGACCGAAATCCTTCAAAAACCTTCGGTGCCGGAAGGATTTCGCAATCGAGTTTCCAATTAGCCTGACGAAGGACCCAACTATGTGCAATTGCGAGTACCGCATTGTGGGTACCGGTTTCGGTGGAGCTCCTATGGGGCCACGAAACTTGTGAAGGGTGCGCCGAAATTGGTGGCGCGGACGCATGCGGACACCGCCACAGGGGCCTTCGGTGTAGCTCCCTATGGGGCCACGAAGCGCTGCCGTGGGCGAGGGAGACGCATGCGAACTGCGCCATTGGGACCTTCGCTGGAGCTCCTGATGGGGCCACGAAGCGCTGTCATGGGTGGGGGAGACGCGTGCGAACTGCACCTCTGGCGCCTTCGGTGGAGCTCCCTATGGGGCCACGAAGCGCTCTCCTGGGTGGGAGAGACGCGTGCGAACACCCCGATTGAGGCCTTCGGCGGAGCTCCCTATGGGGCCACGAAGCGCTGTCCTGGGCAGGGGAGATGCATGCGAACACCCCCAGTGGAGCCTTCGGTGGAGCTCCCTATTGGGCCACGAAGCGCTGCCCTGGGTGGGGGATCCGCATGCGCCCACCCCCACTGGGGCCTTCGGTGGAGCTCCCTAGTGGGCCACGAAACGCTGCCCTGGGTGGGGGACCACCCCCACTGGGGCCTTCGGTGGAGCTCCTCTGGGGCCACGAAACGCTGCCCTGGGTGAGGGAACCGCCGTATGCGCCCACCCCCACTGGGGCCTTCGGTGGAGCTCCCTATGGGGCCACGAAGCGCTGCCCTGGGTGGAGGAACCGCATGCGCCCACCCCCACTGGGGCCTTCGAGGAGCTCCCTATGGGGCCATGCAACGCCGCCTTGGGTGGGGGAACCGCATGCGCCCACCCCCACTGGGGCCTTCGGTGGAGCTCCCTATGGGGCCACGAAGCGCTGCCCTGTGTGGGGGAACCGCATGCGCCCACCCCCACTGGGGCCTTCGGTGGAGCTCCCTATGGGGCCACGAAGCGCTGCCCTTGGTGGGGGAACCGCATGCGCCCCCCCACACTGGGACCTTCGGTGGAGCTCCCTATGGGGCTACGAGACGTGTGAGAGGCGTGCCGAGAGCAGAGGCAAGGAGGGGGAGGAGGAATGAAGGAAGGAGGAACGCGGGGCACCGTCTCTTCAAAAGAGGACCCAACACCACAGGATGGTTGGGGAAAAACATACAAGAACACAGGGTTTCGCAACACTGATTTGCTGAAATAGCTTACGCGCGAGCTCTTGCGGAATCTTAAGAAACCATTGCTTGCTAAAAAGAAGAATTTTCACACACTGCTATTATACGGGCTTCGCGCGCGCATGTCGAAATCTGTCGAACGCCCTTGCGCGTGCGCCGTCGCCAGAATCTTTTGCAACAAATGGGACGAAGTGCAGACGCGCGCGTCGTCGCGCGCGTACGCCGAAAACCTTCAAAACCCATCGGTTCGGAAGAATTTTAGAATCGTGTCCAAAAAACCTACAAACACACAAGGTTTCGCAACACGGATTTTCAACAAAAGCGTGCGCGCGCGCTCTTGCGTCGTCGTCGTCGTCGTCGCCGTCCTCCCTCCTTCCGCGTCGTCGTCGTCGTCGTCGCCTGCGTCGTCCTCTGTCTTTCCTCGTGTTCGTCTTCGTCGTCCTCTTTGGCGTCGTGGTCGTTTCCGTCGTCGTTGTCGCCGTGGTCGTCCTTCCTCCTCCTCCCTCGTCGCCGTCGTCGTCGTCCGTCGTAGGCGTCTCGTCGTCGTCCCTCCTATTTCGTCGCCTTCGTCGTCGTCGTCGTTGTCGTCGTCGTCATCCCTCCTCCCTCGTCGTTGCCGTCGTCGGCGTCGCCGTCTTTCCTCCTTCTTCGTCGTTCGCGTCGTCGCCGTCCTCCCTCCTCCCTCGTCGTTGTCGTCGTTGTCGCCGTTGTCGCCGTCGTCGTCCTTCCTCCTCCCTCGTCGTCGTCTTCGTTGGCGTCGTCGTCGTCGTCGTCTTAGTCGTCGTCGGCGTCGGCGTCGGTGTCGTCGTCGAAGTCGTCGGAGACGTCGTCGGTGTCGTCGTTGTCGTCGGTTTCGTCGTAGTCGGTCTTAAGAAGTTTTGCAAACCAAAATGCGGGTGGGTGGGTGGGATGTTTGCGCGAGCAATGGAAATCACGTCTTCAAGTTCAGCAGAATGGATTCTCCTTTCAAAAAAAAAAAAATAGACTCCACCCACCCCCCCGGACTTAACGCTTCCCCGTGGGATCATATAATTTCAAATATATTCTGCACACTCGTCCATCCTAAATATGAAATCATACCATCCCAGGCAGGCCGGTTTCCCCCCCTGGGTGTCCCTTGTAAAAAACACTATGCGGTGACACTTTTTGTTCTAATAGAACACTTTTTCGCGAATCCCTTGCAAAAAACGAAACGAAGTGCACACGCGCGCGTCGTCGCGCGCGCATGCCGAAATCCTTCAAAAACCTCCGGTGCCGGAAGGATTTCGCAATCGAGTTTCCAAAAAACAAATTAAAAACACATCGTTTCGCAACACTGATTTGCTAAAAAAGCTTCCGCGCGAGCTCTTGCGAAATCTTAAGAAAACCATAGGTGTTCAAGAATTTCACAAAATGCTACCAAACGGGCTTCGCGCGCGGGCATGTCGAAATCTGTCGAACGCCCTTGCGCGTGTGCCGTCGCGAGAAACCTCTGCAACAAATCGGACGAAGTGCAGACGCGCGCGTGGTCGCGCGCATACGCCGAAAACCTTCAAAACCCATCGGTTCGGAAGAATTTCAAAATCGTGTCCAAAAAACCTACAAACACACAAGGTTTCGCAACACGGATTTTCAACAAAAGCGTGCGCGCGCGCTCTTGCGTCGTCGTCGTCGTCGTCGTCGTCGCCGTCCTCCCTCCTCCCGCGTCGTTGTCGTCGTCGTCGCCTACGTCGTCCTCTGTCTTTCCTCGTGTTCGTCGTCGTCGTCCTCTTTGGCGTCGTGGTCGTTTCCGTCGTCGTTGTCGCCGTGGTCGTCCTTCCTCCTCCTCTCTCGTCGTCGTTGTCGTCCGTCGTCGGCGTCACGTCGTCGTTCCTCCTATTTCGTCGTCCGTCGTCGTCGTCGTCGTTGTCGTCGTCGTCGTCTTCCCTCCTCCCTCGTCGTTGCCGTCGTCGGCGTCGCCGTCCTTCCTCCTTCGTCGTTCGCGTCGTCGCCGTCCTCCCTCCTCCCTCATCGTTGTCGTCGTTGTCGCCGTTGTCGCCGTCGTCGTCCTCCCTCCTCCCTCGTCGTCGTCTTCGTTGACGACGTCGTCGTCGTCTTCGTCGTGGTCGTCGGCGTCGTCGTCGTCTTCGTCGTCGTTGTCGGCGTCGTCGTCGTCGCCGCCGCCGTCGTCGTCGTCGTCGTCGTCGTCGGCGTCGTTGACGTCGTCGTCGTCGTCGGCGTCGTCGTTGTCGTCGTCGTCGGCGTCGTCATCGTCGTCGTCGTTGTCATCGTCGTCGTCGTCGTCGTCGTCGTCGTCGTCGTCGTCGTCGTCGTCGTTGTCGGCGTCGTCGAAGTCGTTGGAGACGTCGTCGGTGTCGTCGTAGTCGTTGTCGGCGGCGTCGTCGTCGTCGTTGTCGCTGTCGTCGTCGGCGTCGCTGTCGTTGGCAAGTGACATTTGGTACCCACCGTCACGGTCTTAAGAGATTTTGCGAACCAAGTTGCGGGTGGGTGGGTGGGATGTTTGCGCGAGCAATGGAGTGGTCAAGCGCGGTGCAGGGTAGTCAATTCTCATTTCTTAAAAAAATAATAAATTCTACCCCCCCCCGGACTTATCGCTTCACCCGCGCGTGCTGTAAATTACATATGATTCTGAACACATGTCCATCCTAAATATGAACTCATACCATCCCAGCCAAGCCGGTACCCCCCCCCTGCGGTTCCCTGTCAAATAACACTATGCGGGGACATTTTTCTTTCTAACATAACACTTTTTTCGCGAATCCCTGTCAAATAATACAATGCGGGACACATTCGCGCGCGCAAGACGAAATCCTTCCAAAACCTTAGTGTTCGTAGCGATTCTAACATAAAAATATCAAAAACCCAATGGTTAAAAAAAAAACTTCAAACATTCACCCCGCGCGCTCTTGCGGATTCCTAGGAAACCCACTACTTTTTCAACATCTCTGTCAAAAGGGCTCTTGCGAGCAACTTTTTCCTACGCTTCGAACTTCTTCAACAACGGCTGCGCGCCTGCCAGGGGCATAATCCTTGTCAAATAATGCCATGCGGGACACATTCGGTTTTTCTTCGCGCGCGCGCGCGCCGAAATCTTCAAAAACCATTGGGTTTCTTGAGCATTTCAGCACTGCGTATCATAAAAACACACGAATCGCACCGTAGGTCCTCGAAAAAAACCTGCACGGATTTTCAAAATTTTGCCCGCTCGCGCTGTCCGAACCTTAAAAAACCAATGTTTTTTTTTCAACATTTCGGTCGCACGAGCTCGTGCGAGCTACTTTCGCGCGCTCCTTCAACGACGTTCGCGCGCCTGCCAGGGCCACTGTCCGTATCAAATGATACCATGCGGGACACATCGTCGTCGTCGTCGTCGTCGTCGTCGTCGTCGTCGTCGTCGTCGTCGTCGTCGTCGTCGTCGTCGTCGTCGTCGTCGTCGTCGTCGTCGTCGTCGTCGTCGTCGTCGTCGTCGTCGTCGTCGTCGTCGTCGTCGTCGTCGTCGTCGTCGTCGTCCGTCGTCGGCGTCGTTGTCGTCGTCGAAGTCGTCGGAGACGTCGTCGGTGTCGTCCTAGTCGTTGTCGTCGGTGTCGTCGTAGTCGGTCTTAACAGGTTTTGCAAACCAAGTTGCGCGTGGGTGGGTGGGATGTTTGCGCGAGCAGTGGAGATGACGACTTCAAGTTCAGCAGAGTGGATTGCACCAAATAGACTGCACCACATAGATTGTGCAACATAGATTGTACCACGTGTGCTGCACAACAAAGCGTGCACTTCACAGCGTGCACAACGTATTTTGCACACCATTGGTTGCATCATGGATTGCGCCGCGTGTGGTCCATCCTGAAGATTTATCATAGGTAGTGCAACATATGTTTCACCGCAAGCACTGCACCACATCTATACTGCGCCATAAGTGCTGCTCCACATCTGTTCTCGTCTTTTGTAAAGACAAACACTTTACATCTATCACCGGTGCACCCCCGGGCTTCTCCGTGCCCCCTGAAGTAACAAGTTCTTTCTGTATCTGCCCCATCGTTCATTTGATTTAGAAGCTCATACCATCCCAGCCAAATCGGCATCGCCCCCCCTCCCCCATCCATGTCAAGTAGTACTACGCGCGCGCATTTGGTACCGAAAACCATCCGTTTCCATGAATCCCTTGCAAATGACATGACAACGTCGACACGCGCGCGGCGTCGCGCGTGCATGTCAGAATCATTCAAATACCATATAGGTTTCGCGCGGATTTCAAGATCGAGGTTCCTGGAAACAGATGGAAGCACAAATGTGAGCGTTTTCTGATTCGGCGTTTCGACATTGAGCGGAAAAAGGGGGGGGTCTCGCTCTGGACCTCTGCCTACCTCGGCTGTCTGCAGAAATGCGTCCTCTGGGTGAGATTCCACCCGCTCGAAACAGCCGCCCAAAACAAGATCTACTCCAGCGGGGGGTAAATGGGGGGGGGTGCGAGGGCCCGCGCCGACCGGCAAAATAAGGAACAGAAAATGATCACAATGGTATCGCAAACGGATGTTTCAAACAAGTGTCAAGCAAACCTGTGCGCACGCACTTGCGACTTCTCATGGGGAAAAACGCGCGCTTCCAGCATATTCATTACATGCCACCAACAATCGAAGCCTTCCCGCGCGCGTGTCGAAATCATTCGAACGCCCTGGCTCGTTTGCTAAGGAGGTGGTGGGGGGCACCATCCCTGTCAGATAGTACACTGCGGGCCACTAGCGCGCATCGGCCTCGCGCGCGCATGTCGAAATCTGTCCAAAGCACGTAAGTAACACCGGCGCGTGGACATAGTCATCGTCACCAGCGTGAGTACCATCGGCACCGTCGTTGGCCTTGCCACCGTCATCGAAATCATCGCAACCATCATTGTTACTATCAGCGCCGCGCACTCTGCGTGGATGTCGCCATGATACCGCGCCCGCCCGAACCACCAACCCGCGCTGAAGCATCCGCGCGTCAGCGCGGCCTGCGAAAAGCGATAGGGAATCCACAGCGGTCAGCGCCACCGCGGCCGCATCGGTCACGTCAAACTAGCTGACCGCTCTGCGCACGAACCTGCCGTTTTAGCGCCGCCGCAGCGGCGCGCCAGCCAGCGCCAAACAGTCATCGCAATCGCCACCGTATGAACATTTCAAACCAAGTTGCGAGTGGTGTGCGGGATGAGTGCGCGAGCAGTGGAATCGACAACTCACTAGTGACCATGAGACTCTTGCACCACATAGGAATGCAAAACATGGATTGTTAGAAACGCACGGTTTGGGGTCCACGGTGGGAAATATTTCATGGATGTCCATATTGTCCTCCATGTCTGAATTTTCCTATCTGTACATGAAGATCGGTCATGTGTGTGTGTGTGTTCATGTTTATGTGTTCCTCCTGACCTTCAGGCCCCGAAACATCTCCGACCCGCTCGCGCGCCATCTGCGCTCGGTCATCAGCGCCCCGCGCCGCAGCGCTTCCTGCGTGCTCGGCGCGTAAAGTTCCAGGCGGAGGGTGCCCTGTTGCCTGCTGACGGGGCGAGGAGGGGGCGACGGGGAGGAGGATCAGGAAAGGGGCAAAGAGGGGGGGGGACGGGGCGAGGAGACGGGGGGCCTTCCAAGAAGGCACGCCGCTGAAGCCCTCCCGCCGCTATTCTGAGAGCGACGACCATGCACCGTACCATGTCTGGACTCCCTTCGGGGCCCGCTCCAACGCGGCACGGTGCATAGTTGTTGTCGGTTCTGCGGGCCGAAGAAACTACGAGGAACAACCAATGACAAAAAAAAACTGTCGGAGCTCCGCGCTGATTCCTGGGATCGGCGCTGGAGGCGGCGCCGCCAGGGAGCTCCAGCGTCGATCTTCAAGAAACCCGCGCGGACCTCTGAAAGTTGATGTTTCTGCCATTGTTCGTCCCCGAATAGGGTGGAGGCTCGCCCACAAGAAACATCCCACAAGAAACCCAACCCTGAGACCCCAAGACGCCCATGGATGTTTGATGTGGGAGCGCCACGCTTTCCATGGCAAAACCATGGAAACGCAAGAAACCCAGGGCACCCTGGAGGCAAGCAGGGTGCCTCTGGCCATGGGCCCGCGCTAAGGACAGTGAAGGTTTTTTTTGTTTGGCGTCTCGACGTTGGGCCGAAGGGGGAGGGGGAGGGGGGGGGGATCTGGCTCCGGACTTCTGCTTAGTGCGACGGTTTGCAGCAGTGCGCTCTATGGGGGAAGCCTCCTCCTGCTCGAAGCAGGCGCCAAAAACAGCAAAGATCTACTCCACGTGGGGAGAGGGGGGGGGTCGACGGCCCGCGCCGATCGGCCAAACAATGAAGAAGACAACGATCACATGCAAGCTCCTTGGACGCCAGTATCAAAGCTTTTCGAGCGGGGCTGTCAATCCAAAGTGGTTAAGCATGGACCGAGGAGGCGAGGATGCAATGGTACCCTTGGGTAGGCTACCAATCCCTACCGTCGATTTCGACTGTAGGCCTCTCCGCGTGATCGTGCCCTCTCAGAAAGCCGCCCCCCGCCCTCTCGGAGGCGGGCCGATTGAGACAACGGCGGCCCTCCCGCCAGTCCCAAGGCTTCCTAAAATCGGTGCCTGGACCCCTCTCAGGTCCACTCGTGTTTCGGGGCGGGTCCAGCCGCGGTGAATAGAAGCTCGCTGGAGGCCCAAATTATCCAGGCGACGGAACCAGCCATATGCAGGCGTGAATACCGCAAGGCAGGCGGGACGAAGGACGGGGAAGTCCCTGTGGGGCTAAAAACCGCATGATGGGTGTGCGGATCTGGGAGGAGGCCGCCATGACGGGGCTGAAACTGCCGCCGTTGGTGGAGCTCCCTGTGGCTTGTGGGGCCACGAAAGGTGTGAGGGGTGTGCCGAAATCAAACACCGATGCCATGCGGACCCTCGCATTCGGGCATTCGGTGGAGCTCTAGGGCCATGATGCGTGTGAGTGTTGTGGGGCCACGAGACGTGCGAAGGGTGTGCCAGCATGAAGCGGTGACGTCATGCGGACCTTGTCATGTGGGCTTTAGCTGGAGCCCCATATGAAGCCACGAACCGTGTGAGGGGTGTGCCGAAATGGCGCGGCGACGCCATGCGGACCCTGGCATTTGGGCCTTAGCTGGAATTCCCTCTGGGGCCACGAAACGTTTGAAAGGGGTGCCGACATGAGGCGGTGACGTCATGCGGACCTTGGCGTGTGGGCTTTAGCTGGAGCCCCATATGAAGCCACGAAACGTGTGAGGGGTGTGCCGAAATGGCGCGGCGACGCCATGCGGATCCTGGCATCTGGGCCTTAGCTGGAGTTCCTTCTGGGGCCACGAAGCGTGTGATGGGGTGTGCCGATATGAGGCGGCCACGCCATGCCGACCCTGGCATTTGGGCATTAGTTCGAGCTCCCTGTGGAGCCACGGAACGTGTGAAGGTGTGCCGAGGTGGCGCGGCGACGCTGTGCGGACCCTGGCATTTTGGCCTTAGTTGGAATTGCCGTTATGGGGTGTGCCGACATGAGGCGGTGACGTCATGCATTCGTTGGACCTCCCAATGGGGCCACGATACGTGTAAGGACTGAGCCGCCATGCGTCAGCGACGCCATGCGGACCCTGGCAGTTGAGCCTGAGCTGGAGCTCCCCATTGGGTCACGAAACGTGTGAAAGGTGTGCCGAACTAGAACGACAACGCCCCGCGAACCCTGGCATTCTGGCCGTAGCTGGAGCTTCCTGCGGGGCACGACACACAGGAGGGGGCGACTGTGAGGACATGCGGAGGGCAGGGGCAGGGATGGAAGGAAAAAGTAGTTTGGTATTCTGCGGGGCCAGCATAGCGCTGAGCAAACTCAAGCAAGGGCTCCCAACTTCGCGCTTCGCGCTGCGCGAAGCGCGAAGCGCGAATAACTTCGCGCTCTCGCGCCGCCCCCCAAGGGGGAGAAGAGGAGGACGAGGAGGAGGGGGAGGAGGAAGGAGGACGGCGAAGCGCGAAGCGCGAATAACTTCGCGCCCTCGGGGGAGCCCTTGAAGCTAGACTGCTGGCACGGGCGCGGTGGCCCTCAGGGTCCGCGGTGCAGGCCCACGACCGCGTGCCACCTCCAGGGCGCACGGAGAAACCTCCAGCAACTCCATGTTGGTCCGCGGGGGCATCCCCCGACCTCGTGTCCTTCCCACGCCGCATAAGCACAGTCTCATCATCCTCGCCTTCGGCGCGGACTTCTGGGTGCGCGGGGGTAGCCCCCGACCCAGCGCCGTCCAGTTGGCACGTACTCCCAGCGACCCAAAAGGGGTTCACTCTGTTCACTGGCCTTTCCGACCCGCGGTCCCTTCCCCCGAAGGCGGGGGGGGGGGCGGAGACAGTGCAGCCCAAAGGTCCCAAAGGTCCCCAACGCCTTGGTTCGGGCCCAGAGAATCCATTTTCATGAGCCCAATATCGTTGTGAATCCGCGGGGTCAGCCCCCGACCCACTGCCTTCCAGCACGCACATGCCTCCAACATATGTAAACTCGGTGGCTTTGCTTGCGCATCCCGCTCGCACTTGACGTCGGCAGAAAGCCTTGATCCAGCTTGCCAAGCGTCTGTCTCCCACGGTGCCCGAATACGACCGCGCACTGACCGGCAACACCTCGGAAACAAAAGGCTTGCCCACGCAACCGCGCCGAAAGCAGGCGAGGATCTTCCCCAACAAGTTGGAACAATGAGTCGGCACACCCTTCGCTGAGACACCAAAGTCACAAACTCTACGGGTAAAGCCGTTCGCAATGCCATCCAAATGCGGCGTTTAACGAAAAACTTCCAAACTTCGCCCAATGGCAAAAAAAACGCGTTGGTAGCAATGCGTGGCAAATCATCCCAATAAACACGGCATGTTCCGACATGTGCTCCCGCCCCTGTTTTTCCGGAGCCATGGACCGCGTAGGCCGCAGACTTAAGCTCCGCCTCGGAGTCCGCAAGGAACGCCATGGCAAGATGCTTCCTCGCCGCCCTTCCAATGACTCTGGCATGGTCTACCGAATCCACAACAGCACCATCAAGAGCAGCCGTACAATTGGCCAGGTAATACCCCCAAAGGCGTTACATTCTGTTGCGACCCCTCGACCGATTGGTAACTGTCAATATTAACCAATCGAAACAACCCCAGATGACGTCGATCGCACTGCCAAGTCATTGCCACTTCCGCTACCGAGGAGCCCCACATATAATTTTTCTGGCTGGGATGATGATAGCTGAACTGAAGCATGCGAGAATGATGTTGGTGGCCGTTTCCCCGCCGATACCCTTGGCGGCGCCAGTCCAGAGGAGAGGAGGAGGTTACCGAGGGTGTTTGTTCAAGGGAGGCAACAGGCACTTCGGTCATACAGAACACGGAACGAAATCTTCGTCGAAAAGCATCGGGACTGCCACACATGTCGTGTTATCCCGCCGTGGCACGGAGGCCTGCCAAGCTCCCAGACCCTGGCGCTCGTAGGGGCCGCCGTGAAGGACCACCTCCTGCGCACCCCCTGTGGTGTCGAGAAGGTGCCACGCCTACCACGCTCTCAGACCCTGGCACGCATATGGGGCCGCGGTGAGGGACCACCCACTGCGCACCCCCCACTATGTCAAGAAAGTGCTACGCCTGCCACGCTCTCAGACCCTGGCACGCATAGAAGCCGCCGTGAGCGACCACCCTTTTTGCGCACCCCCTATGGTGTCGAGAAAGTGCCACGCCTGCCACGCTCTCAGTTGTCTTGTGTGCCTTGTGCATGTGTATGATGGTTGCATGTGAACGTGCGTATCATGCGGCTGCTCAGTCTGTGGCGCATACGCCTTGATGTATGATGCCGTCGACACGCCAAGCGCGCACTGGCGTTGTATGATGTGTGCGCGAGTGTGTGCATACGTGCGGCTGCGTGCGACGCGTGTCACATCTACGCGTCGCGCGCGCGTTGCGCGCGGGCGAGGGGAGGAAGGGGGAGGAGAAGGAGGAGGAGAGGAGGAGGTGAGAGAGGAAGAGGCGCGACGAGGCAGGAGGAGGGGTGAGGAGGCGGAGGAACGCGGGCGGGGCGCTGGAGAGAAGACAACCAGAACCCCACCTAGCATGTGGGGCAGAAGCGGTACTGGCCGAAGGCACGCCGCCATGACTCAACCCCACCATGCCTGTCACAACGGACGAGGGGTCGACGACGAACGCGACCTTCATGCCCAAGCCAATGGGATCCCCCACCACCATCGCCAAAGCGGTCAACGCCCAGACAATGCCGCCACCTCGCCCACGTAGCACGGAGAGGCCCGAGGCTCCATCGCCAGTGACGATCTCCCAGGTCACGCAGGCCCAATGCTTCACCAAAAGTCACACCCTCAGGGATAGCACGTGGTTAAGAAACTTTGGCCCAAGGTGCGGGGGCCCCATTCCGCGGGGCCAGGCAAGGTAAGGCTTCGTGATCTTCGTGGGGCCGATTGACCAATGTGCCTGAAACGACGGGGAACT